AAAAGCACTGACTGTTTCATAACAAAGTGTTCAACTTTTTAAAATTATTTTCCCCCTGAGAACAAGCCAAGAACATTGAGGGAATAAAACAAAACTCATTCCAATTGTGATTCTGGAAACACACAAGTTAGCCTAGATCGCACTGGTGACAAAATAAATCACTTCTGGTGCCCGACAGTAATTGGTTATATTGTTAGTAATCTTTCAGCATTGGTCATTTTACCAACTTTTTTCAAAAGAGGAAAATAGTCTATCAAAGACCTCAGAAAACTGCATATGGAAAATAATCATCATGAATACACTCTCCCCAGGAGACTCAGCCTGGAGAATCTCTTGGCACCAGTTTTTTCTCTCATATGGGGCTCACCACAGCCACCTGGCCCGGTGTGTGATGGGGGAAAAGCATAACAGACAGGCGGCCCTCAGTATTCCCCTCATTTGCCTGTTTTGCCGGCTTCAGGAACTGGCTTTCCTGAGTGTCAGCCTCCTGGTGCCCTCGGTGGGATCTTTCCTTATGTCTTTTGCCCTTGATGCCCGTCAGCCAGCTCTGCCTCTGCTCCGACCCCACCCACTAACCAGAATAGCAAAACAAAACAAAACAAAGTAACCAGCAGAGAGTCAGTTACTCAATGACCCAGGTGCACTGTAGGTCTGAGGGCCACATGCCACCAGTGGACACTCAGAGGTGGAAGTCCCCCAGATCCTACAGCCCGTCCAGGGCTCCCTCCATGCACCCACCTCATGAAGAACAAAGAACATCAGGCTGGCAGCTGACTCCCTCGGCTCACCATGCAGGCTCAAGGCACCCAGGCCTGAGGAGCCTGATTGCCAAGCAGCAGGGATCAGCCTGTGAACTGACAGGCAAATTAATATGTAGGGCTGTGCATGTGAGTGTGAGCAGGGCTAGTTTCGTGGGAGCTCAGTCCGCACAGTCGCACAGCCCAGTACTCAAATGGGCTGTGCTTGGTTTAATGCTTTGCTGTTGCTTGAAATCCTTTTAACGCATCTGTCTTACATTTTTATTGATTTCAGAGAGGAAGGGAGAGGGATAGAAAAATCAATGATGAGAATCATTGATCAGCTGCCTCCTGCACGCCCACCGCTGGGGATCAAGTCCACAACCCAGGCTTGTGCCCTTGACTGGAATTGAACCTGGGACCATTTAGTCCCCACGCCAACTCTATCCACTGAGCAAAACCAACTAGGCTGTGACTTGAAATTCTTGATTTTATTTTTAGACTTACGTTTTGTAATATGCTAAGTGTCCAACCATCCGGGTAATGACCTCAGGCAGCAACACCCGGCTTCCTCTCCCTAGCGACTAGCCTTCCTACAGTTTCTTCAGCGCAGTAACACCACTTGCTTTATAGCCAGGTAAAAGTATGAGCAGAGGATATACATGCAAAATATATGTCTGCCACCCCCTGCCATCCATTTGCACATAGCATTCTCAATGTCCCACATGTGTAGGAATCCAGTGGTACTCAACAAAGCTAGTGTGTTCTATCTACAACTGAGTAAGTGGGGAGGCCGACAACCATAAGAGGCTGCACCCTCCGCGCTCCGCCGCCTTAGCGCCCCGCGCCCCGCCCGTGTCCTTGCCCAGCGCCTCCACACAGAGCCGATCAGACTCCCTGCTCCCAACTCCGGTGCCAGGGTCCGGGGGGGGGGGGGGACCAGCTTCTCCCACAGCGGGACAGCCATCCCCCGGGAAACACCCCTTGGCCTGGGCCTGCCCTCTGCCCCTCGGGGGGCCCAGCTCAGGGGCCCAGGGCCCCGGTTCCCCGCACACAGCCTGGAGGGAGAGCTGCAGTGGAAAACATTTCTTCTGTGGCTCGGGTGACTGTGACTGCCATTGAGTGGGACATTTTCCCCATCCGATATTTTCCTGTTTTATATGAAAAATAAAACCCGTTTAAAGAAACATAGGCGTGTGTGTCTCTGTGTGTGTTTGTGTGTGTGTGTATGTGTGTTCATTTATTTATTTTCATCACAGCCTGTTCCTTGAAGACAACTGTATCTGTTTTGGTTTGACCTGAGAACGGGTTTCTTTTAGGTGAACGCATAGAAACGCAACCAGAATCAAGCCTTCACCTCCACTGAACACGCTGGGTGATTTGGGGGATGTTCTGTTACCGAACATATCTTGGATTCTCAGTCCATTAGCTTCTTCCAAGTCACAATAAATTTCCTGAATATTCTAAACCTTTGCCACTGGGAGGCAGTACACTTGCCAAGACTTGCCAGGCTCTTGACTATTTACCTGCTGACATTTCTATCTTAACAATTCTTGTCTTTACCCTATGCTTGGCATTGTGTCAAGTTGAGATTCATTGGCATACCTACAATGTATGTTCACATACACATCAACAGAAGGGTTATGCATGTGTAAACTCCACACTACTCCCTCTCCAATCCACTCCTTGAATTTCTACCATGCAGCTATGCAAATCTCTATCCCTATTGCATTGCCAAAACACTGATGCTTCTCCTTGCAAAGGAATTCGTTTTTACCAAACATTAGATTTCGTTTTCTCATTTGCTCTGCCTACTGTGATTGTAGCCCTAACAATCCCATGTCTTACCTTTCCCACTGACATGAATTAATAGAATCTATGAGCAAGCCTGCATTCTCCCTTTTTAACCCTTGATATTACACTTGGTGTTGAACATGCACAGGCTTTTCTTCTGGCTTTAATAGATATCCTTCCAAGATACAATGAAGGAAACAAGGCTCTGAGAGGTTATGTAGATGCCAAAGTTGGTCGGCAAACTCATTAGTCAACAGCCAAATATCAACAGTACTTCTTCAAAATAGACTCGCCCAGGCCGAAAACCGACTTCTGCGCAGGGGCCATGAAGTTTCAATCGCACTGTACGCGTGCCCGCACATGGTATTTTGTGGCAGAGCCACACTCAAGGGGCCAAAGAGCCGCATGTGGCTCGCGAGCCGCAGTTTGCCGACCACGGGGTTAGGAGAAGGAACACTGAGGTCAGACACTCTTTTGTTCTCAACCTTCTGCTTAGTAGCTTCTGTCTGTCTCAAACATTACTTACCTGTCAGTGGCAACTATAAGTGTAATTTGTAGAACACATGTCCAGTGTCACTAGGTGGCGGAGATAGTGGATATCATGTTAGAATTCTTCTTATCACGATATTTATAGCATGCTTTGTTAGGCCCTACAGTTGGTGCTAGAAGACTAGGGAAAGCATTATTGGGATTGTTTGAGAATACATGGGAAACATCACTGTGATTGGTTGGACAAACAATTTTTGTTGTTAGGAACTTACATATCTTAGAGCAGACCGATCCACCTCCACAGGTTTGTTCAATGAAGGCGGTTCCCTCTATTGGGAATGTCCACACACTTCTGTTTGGAGAGGGAGGAAATTCCTTACAAAAGAGTAGGGGTCTCATTTGTTTCATGAAACCCTAATTTAATAATTCTTTTACATGTGTAACATAATTCAGGGGTCCACAATCTACAGGCTGCTGTCTTTTTTGATAAAGTTTCATTGAAACACAGACATGCTTATTCATTTTCATATTGTCTCCAGTTGCTTTTGTGCATAAAATCAGATTTAGAGTTACCTCAGTATGTCGATTTTCTTTCATTGTTCACTTCCAATCATTTTTAGACATCATTTCCTCATTCATTGTTGATAAATTTTAATTTATATTTTACTGCACAGGATGGCTTCCAGTATTCATTTCTACTGTTCAGGCATACCTATATTCTTGTTTCAGGTCTGACACTATTATGAGTTCTCCAAGAGGTGTGGGAAACTTAATCTAACCATAACCTGCAACTGTTTTATCCTTGTAAAAAGTTGAAATTTTCTACAGCTCTGGACAGTGATGAATATCCCATGCATACTGCTAGACTTCCACTTGGTAATAAATTACTAATGGACTTGACTTTTACATTACATTTTCTTCCGTGAGCGTAAATAACTTACTTTGTAATAATATAGGAGTTTATCTTTCAACACATGCATACCTACATGCAAATTCTACTCTCAATATTTATACATTTTATTCTCTGAAATGAGATCAGGAAGGCAGGTACTTGAATGGGAAATGTTTGCAAATATGGCACTTAAACACATATTTATTGAGAGCCCATTATTATGTTAGACTAAATATATATTGAATAGTATTGTTCATGACTAGACAAGTCTTGCTTACTGAATCATATGTTTATTCTAAGGAACAGATGAGATAAGGTATTGAATGTGCTGTGAAAAATGTAAAAGATGGTGTACATGCCAAATATCATTACTTTATATTACAAAACCTTTTTTGTTTTCATGTCACTGTTTTTAGTGTAACAAGTAAATTTTAAAACAGTACAGGTGTATTATTTTTATGACACATGAGTAAAAAAAATTCTAGGAATACAACTGAAAATAGGTTTCCTATGTGAACTCATATGATTTGTAGTATCTTCTAGAATGCATGCTTAAGAATGATTCTGAGGCCAGGTCTAGATTTACTCAGAAAGAGTGCAGTGATCCAACAGCAATGTCTGCTATTGGGAAAGAACAGGGAGTTGTGCCATTAGTTGCAATATATTTGGTATCCCAGAGAGAGATGTTTGTATTTAAGTGCTTTGAATGAGATAAAATGGAGTGATTGTTCAGACAATCACTTTCATTCATTCACCTGCAATCACAATTCATCTTAAGTTTTTTAAAAATGGTAAGCAGATGCCAAAACTGGTTTGGCTCAGTGGATAGAGCGTTGGCCTGCGGACTGAAGGGTCCCAGGTTCGATTCCGGTCAAGGGCATGTACCTGGGTTGCGGGCACATCCCCAGTAGGAGATGTGCAGGAGGCAGCTGATCGGTGTTTCTCTCTCATCGATGTTTCTGGCTATCTCTCTCCCTTCCTCTCTGTGAAAAATCAATAAAATATATTTTTTAAAAAATGGTAAGCAGAAAAAACACAGTGCTGAGTTATAGTTGTAATTTATTATTTTAATGAAAGAACATGTTTAATAGGAAAAGTCTTTGTGAATTCAATATCAAGTTTAATGACATATTCTTAGACTCATCATCATTCACAAATAGGCACAGAAACTTTTATTTTGTCAAATATCATAATGGAGTGGGCTCAGTGAAAATTTTAATTCATGTTGATTTACACATATGAAAAGGATTTTAATTGTGGTAATGATACATATACATGATGAAAAAGTTCAAACAGTATGCAATAAAAAGGAGATCTCCCTCTCAGCCCAGGCTCTGCCATTCCTATACTCTTGTGCCCAGTGGCAACCACTATTAAGTTTCATCTGTATTTTTCAAACCAAGTCTATTCAGATACAAACGTGTATGTAGATATATACAGAGACAGGCACACACACCCTTTGGTACACAAGTGGGAACATATTAAATGCACAGTTCAACAACCTGCTATTTTCACTTAACAATATATCTTGAACATTATTTTCTACCAGCACCTGTGTATTCTCAGCTGCTTTCTTTCATTTTCTCTTAATTTGGTGTTGACATTTTAAAAATAAATAATTACAACCTTTTTATAAAGTTTTCTGCTGATGCAGAGGGTAACAAAGACAGTAAGAGCTGGGTGATAGATAATATCAAAGATGAGCCTTATATCAATGGCCACAAACATTTATACATGGCAATAAACAGATATGCAAATTAAATTTTTATATGTAGTGTTTAAGTACATAACACTCAAGCAATTCAGAAATTTTCAGCGTATGTAATTGGTTTCTCTAGTGTTCTGCTTATTCAACATATTAACAATTCTAAAAACTATATTTTAATCTGAACATATAGGTCATTTACAATAATTGTTTTTAAAACAATATTTTCTATAAAAGGTTTAGTATCGAGTTTAAACTCTCGATAGCTTCTATGTAAAGATTCATTTGCAAATTCTCTCATGTATAATGAGGTGTGACTTCTTGTTAAAGGCTTCCTAACATCATTTAAACTCAGAATACTTCTAAGGTTAAATAAACCCTTCAGTTCAGTTAAAAGACTTCCCACATGAGATTTTACTCATGAGATTTCTCTTCTGAGTGAGTTTTCACATGTTTGGTAAGGGATGAGTTTTGTTTGAAGGCTTTCCCACATTCATTACATTCATAGGGTTTCTCTCCAGTGTGGGATCTCTGATGTATAACAAGTTGTGACTTTGCATTGAAGGCTTTCCCACATTCATTACATTCATAGGGCTTCTCCCCAGTATGAGTTCTCTGATGTACAATGAGGTGTGCCTTTTGACTAAAAGCTTTCCCACATTCATTACAGTCATAGGGTTTCTCTCCAGTATGAACTCTCTGGTGTTGAGTAAGGCCTTCAATTTGTTTGAAGGCCTTCCCACATTGTTTACATTCAAAGGGACTTTCACCGGTATGTGTTCTCATGTGGTAAGTAAGAGATGAGCTATGTCCAAAGGCTTTTCCACATTCATCACATTTGTAGGGTTTCTCCTTAGTATGAGTTCTTTGATGTATACTTAGGTGTGACTTCTTGTTGAAAGCTTTCCCACATTCATTACATTCAAAGGGTTTCTCACCTGTATGAATTCTCATGTGTTTAGTAAGTGATGAGCTATACTTAAAGGCTCTTCCACATTCATTACATTCATATGGTATCTCACCTGTATGAGTTCTTATATGTTCAGTAAGAGATGAGTTATACCTAAAGGATTTTCCACATTCCTTACATTCATAGGGCTTTTCGCCGGTATGAGATCTTACATGTTGAATAAGATTTGAGCTGTGTCTAAAGGTTTTCCCACATTCAGTACATTTGTAAGGCTTTTCCCCAGTATGAACTCTTAGATGGTCAGTGAGGGCATGCTTATGACCATGGGCTTTGCCACACTGATTACATTCATATGGTTTTTCTCCCGTGTGAGTTCTCTGATGTACAATAAGGTGTGACTTTTGGCTAAAGGCTATCCCACATTCATTACATTCATATGGTTTTTCCCCGGTATGAATTCTCTGATGGTCTATAAGTCCTTGTTTATGGCTGAGAATTTTCCCACACTGATTACATTCATATGGTTTCACTTTAGCTTGAGTTGTGTCACACTTACGAGGAGATGAGCTATGGCTGGATAATTTTTCATGTTTCTCTCCAGTTTTAATTTTGTTCCATTTAGTATGGGATGATCCATGACGAACTAATTTTTCATGTTTCTTGTCAGTTTGAGTTTTGTCACACCTATTAGATGAGCTATCGTTGGCTAATTTCTGTTTCTTACCAGTTTGATTTTTGTCTTTCTTTGTTTCAGATAAGCTACTGCTAGATGATTTTCTGTGCTCTTTAGCTACATCAGGTTTCTTTTTTGAAGAGTCTACATTCTGTTTCAAACTCTTTCCCTGTGAATTGAATTTAAGAATCTTTTTTTTGAAAGAAACTTGTGTTGTACTCACATTTTTTCCCCCCAATGAACTATATTCATGGCCTTTCTTCTTAGTCTGAGATTTTTTCTTGAATGCAACTTCCTTAAGGAGTTTTTTTTGAGATTCCTGGTGACTCTCTAGCTGGTCATCATCTTGTTGAACCATTTCTTCTAAAATGGAATTTAGTGAGACATTCTTGAGAACCTTTTCACTCTCCTATTTTAGATTACAATTTATAAAGAAATGCCCTGTTGTGGGATTGAATCTTCATTCCAGCCTAGTATCCCAAAGTGAATGAAATATCAGGCACAAATGTCCCTATCCTCTTGGACTTGAAGGGGAAAGTGCTGTAGTAAAAACAGTAAAAGAAAATTGACAATAGTGATCAGAAAAAGTTGTGACTATTTATAAATATGACCTTGTAACATGGGATAGAAGATGAAATATATAAAAGGAGCAGTGAATAGGAAATAGATGTAGTTAAAAGAACTTGTGGTTGTAGTTGCCACATTTTGAACTCTCTCCTCAGCCCAAGCTGCTGAGCTTTAATAACTGCCAATCCACCTATAGTAACCGACTACTGTAGCCTGTACTATATTAATCCAATTATCCATGGTCATAGTTGGAGACACATCTGGCTCAAGCCAAGATGTCCAATAGGGCTCTTCCTGCTAAAAATTTAGACTCTAGCTAGTCTCCACTGGGTTCTTAAATTTTAACATGATATAAGACAAATATAGTAAGTCTGCATTTTCCTTGTGTAAACAAAATACATCAGTACAAAGGATGGATGTATATACATCCACAGTAAAAGCAGAGATGTGAGATCACATGTCTTCAAAGAGACCATCTGCATTAGATAAATTTCTAATGGCTTTCCAGTCCTGGTTCTAGTCCCTGGTAAGGCCTAGCTGAAATATCTGCCTTCAGGTTACAAGAGATCTACCCATGTCCTTTTAATAAATTCCTCTATTTACTTAGACTAGCTCAAGTACATTTTTAAAATATATTTTTATTGCTTTCAGAGAGAAAGGGGGAGGGAGAGAGATATAGAAACATCAATGATGAGAGATAATCACTGATTGGCCACCTTCTGCATGCCTCCTACTGGGGATCAAGCCCACAACCTGGGCATGTGCCCTTTGACTGGAATCAAACCTGGGACCCTTCAGTCCATAGGCTGATGCTCTATCTACTGAGACAAACCAGCTAGGGCATCAAGTACATTTTTGTTATAGTACCCTAAAAATCCAAAATGGAAAAAATAAGATAAGTCTACCAAGGAGTACTGAACAGCTTACAGGTAGGTGACTGAAGAAATAAGCAAGAAGAGTATTCCACTGCTACTATCCGTGATCAATGTAATAGTGACATTCCTGTACTAAAAAAAAACACACCACCACCACCAACAACAACAACAACAAAAACCTACAGTTTCTCTGAGTTCCTTGATGCTTTTACCATATGATAGTAATGAGATTGTCAAACAAACTTCATATCATTTGGATGTACAGTGTATACACACACTTATTTCCCAATAGATTGCTATGGAGCATACCTGTGTTCCTATCAGGTCACTCTACTAACTGCCAATTATAAATTTTAAGTTTATTTCCAAGCTCTAAGTGATTGCTCACTTTCTTTCCTCCATACATTATACAACTATACATTTTGAGATATCTTCTCAACCCATGTTTCCCTTCTCTGAGACCACCACCCACATTGACAGATATAGGAAGCCATGTTTGTAAATACCATCCAAATTCTAGTTGAAAACAATTGATTGGACAGTAGTAAACACCAGGCTCCAGCTAGTCCAATAATAGTCTTTCTCTTAAGAAATTCACAGTGATAGGAGGAAAAAGGAAAGTAATTAGGGTTAGGAGCATCATGCCAGAGAATGTCTGAATATATAAAGAGAGAAATTTCATATCACTGGATATCACGAGTTTGAATGGAGGAAGGAAGAAAAACAGGATATTAGGAAAAGGAAGGATAATTTTTAAAAGTACTGCTTTTAAAATGGTAAGCAGAAATGAGATTCAGAGACCAGCAAAGAGGGATCACTGCTTCTTCTGAAAGCTGAGCAATGGAGAGCATGGATGAGAAAAGACACCTATACCGAAGGGTCACTTAGGCATATGAAGGGGCTGGTACTAAAGGTTTAGAGCTCTGGTTTTCACCTTTTTTCCTATCACAACCTGAGTGATGTGGCAAACTATATTATTGTTCCCTGAGGAAGAATTACACCTCCCAGTCCCATTGCATGCCCATTTGATTCCTCCCTGTGGAAGGATTATACATTCCTACCCTGTTAAACTCTGAAGTAGTGGTCAGGTGATCTCCTCTTAACCAATAAAATGTGATCAGAAAGAGATCTACCACTTCCAATCAGTGATTTTAAGAGTCATAATGTGGTTTCACTCACTCTTCTTTCTCTCTGCCATGAGACCAGAATTTGCCAAGTAGGAACTGCTCTTTCAACATAGGTCCACAAGACAATGTGAAATAGGCTACAGCCTGAGCAAGAAACAAATCTTTCTTGTTGTAAGCCATTAATATTGTGGGGTCATTCCTTAATGGAATATAACTTACCCTAATCCGACTGATACTCCCATAAGTAACACTGACTTATGACTGCAGTGAACCTCATGTGATAACCTTTCACATGGACAGGTTTATAGAAAGAAGAAATATTAGAATCTCCAAGGTTAAAGAATCCTTGTAGTTTGAAATCCTCTTCTCCCAGGAGATTCTGACATTTTTCTATTGCTAATTCCTGGTTAAGAAAGAAGGATCTGGGATCTTTAAGAAGAATTTAAGAAAAAAATATTCTTTGAATAATTCCAAAGTTACTACCAAGAAATGAGGAACTTACTTCTATTGGCTCCTATTTGTTTGGGTCTTGCTATTTCACTCGGACCACCTTGTCTGGGTCTTTTCCTCTTTCCCAAACATGGCTCTTCTCCTTTTTCCAACTTAGAGATCATGTCTGGTTTGGCAGCTTGATACCCTGTTCATGAGAAATGGTAGACATTGAATGTAAGAACAACAAATATCCCAGAAATCAAGCCCTAATATTTGAGCTTCAGAGCCTTTAAAACAGTGGTTCTCAACCTTCCTAATGCCTCGACCCTTTAATACAGTTCCTCATGTTGTGGTGACCCCCAACCATAAAATTATTTTCGTTGCTACTTCATAACTGTAATTTTGCTACTGTTATGAATCGTAATATAAATATGCAGGATGTATTTTCATTGTTCGCAACCCACAGGTTGAGAACCACTGCTTTAAAGGATAAAGAATACATGGATTCTGAGATTTCACAGTGCAGATATCCATACCCCATCTGAGTAGACCTTCCATTTTAGAGGCAAGGGCACAAGTATCCTTCCTAGTACCAAAAAGGGATTAAAATTCCTTGATTAAAAAATCAAGGTCAAACTTATCAAGTTTGGTAAGTTGAGCAAAGGTATCACAGTGGACATATTTTGAATTGTGAGGAATTATACTTACCCATCGAGGTGAGGTTGCTATAGTTCTCCAGCATCACATCTTTGTACAGGCTCCTCTGAGCAGGATCTAGTTGCTCCCATTCCTTCTGGGTAAAGGCCATAGTCACATCTTTGAAAGTTACCGATCCCTGTAATAGCATATTCTTGTTCAGTGTAATGTTATCCACATTAATGAGTGACTTGGAAGATAATAATGACTTGTTCTTACCTTGACCATTCACTGTTGATCATAATGTTATATAGGATACCTATTCTCTACCGAATTTTGCATTTCTTTCCTTGAGAAACAAAAACCATATTAAGAAATGTCCCACCTGGCCCTACTCGGTTTGGCTCAGTGGATAGAGCCTCGGCCTATGGACTGAAGGGTCCCAGGTTCAATTCCGGTCAAGGGCACATGCCGGGGTTGAGAGCTTGATCCCCAAGGGGGCGTGCAGGAGGCAGCCAATCAATGATTCTCTCTCATCATTGATGTTTCTATCTCTCCCTCTCCCTTCCTCTCTCTGAAATCAATAAAAAAAATATATTTTTTAAAAAGGCACTTCCTTGAAAGAAAGAAAGAAAGAAAGAAAGAAAGAAAGAAAGAAAGAAAGAAAGAAAGAGATGTCCCACCTGGCCAGAGTGGCTCAGTTGGTTGAGCGTCGTCCTGTGCACCAAAAGGTTGCTGGTTCAATTCCTGATCAGGGCACATACCTGATTTGTTGGTTTGATCCCCAGTCGGGGAACATATAGAAGGTAACCGATGATGTTTCTCTATCACATTGATGTTTTCCTGTCTCTCTCTCTGTCTGTCTCTACCTCTCTGTCTCTGTCTCTCATATGTCTCTCCCTGTCTCTGTCTCTGTCTCTGTGTCTCTCTGTCTCTGTGTCTCTCTCTCGGTATCTCGCTGTCTCTCAGCATGTCCTCAAGTAAGGATTAAAAAAAAAAAAGAGCCTGGCCACATTTTAGCTTAGTGCTTGAGCATTGACCTATGATCCAGGAGGTCACAGTTGAATTCTGAGTCAGGACACATGCCCTGGTTGTGGGCTCGATCCCAATTAGGGTTGTGCAGAAGGCAGCAGATCAATTATTCTCTCTCATCATTGATGTTTCTATCTCTCCCTCCCTCTCCCTTCCTCTGTGAAATCAATAAAAATGTATTTATAAAAAAGAAATTTCCCTATTATGAACTGAATGTTTGAAAGAAAGAAAGAAAGAAAGAAAGAAAGAAAGAAAGAAAGAAAGGAAGGGAGATTATTAGTTGATAGGGCTTTGGGAGGTAATTAGGATTAGGAAGGAAGGAAGGAAGAAAGAAAGAAAGAAAGAAAGAAAGAAAGAAAGAAAGAAAGAAAGAGATGTCCCCCCCTGGCCAGAGTGGCTCAGTTGGTTGAGCGTCGTCCTGTGCACCAAAAGGTTGCTGGTTCAATTCCTGATCAGGGCACATACCTGATTTGTTGGTTTGATCCCCAGTCGGGGAACATATAGAAGGTAACCGATGATGTTTCTCTATCACATTGATGTTTTCCTGTCTCTCTCTCTGTCTGTCTCTACCTCTCTGTCTCTGTCTCTCATATGTCTCTCCCTGTCTCTGTCTCTGTCTCTGTGTCTCTCTGTCTCTGTGTCTCTCTCTCGGTATCTCGCTGTCTCTCAGCATGTCCTCAAGTAAGGATTAAAAAAAAAAAAGAGCCTGGCCATTGTAGCTCAGTGGTTGAGCATTGACCTATGATCCAGGAGGTCACAGTTGAATTCTGAGTCAGGACACATGCCCTGGTTGTGGGCTCGATCCCAAGTAGGGTTGTGCAGAAGGCAGCAGATCAATTATTCTCTCTCATCATTGATGTTTCTATCTCTCCCTCCCTCTCCCTTCCTCTGTGAAATCAATAAAAATGTATTTATAAAAAAGAAACTTCCCTATTATGAACTGAATGTTTGTGTCTCCTCCAAATTCATATGTTGAAACCCTACCCTCCAATATGATGGTGTTATGAGATTATTAGTTGATAGGGCCTTTGGGAGGTAATTAGGATTAGATGAGATCATGAGGGTAGAATCTTCATGAATGGGACTAGAGCCCTTATAGGAATCACAAGAGAGCTTGCTTCCTCTCTCTGCTCTTTCTGCCAGCGAGGATACGAGGAGTCTATAACCTGGAAGAGGTTACATATCTCAAATGGGCATCCAATACTGTCAGTTTCCTATTCCCCTTTCCAAGATGATTATGCCAAATATTCTTTCTCTTCGAAATTTCCAACATCTACTCCTTTTCTCCTCTTACTGATGAATTCGCCTTATACTCCAAAGAGAAAATAAATGCAAATGGATGTGAATTACCTTGCCTTGCTCCCACCAATTCCACTATCCTGTTACCAAATCCATATAATCTGTCTTCCCTTCTGTTAAAATTAAAGAGTTGACCCTTCTCTCACCTAAGCCCAGTCTGTCCACTTATGCTCTGGATCCCATCCTCAACTGTCTTCTCAAGGACCTCACCCCTGCAGTTAACCTCATTCTCTTTTGTACTACCTATCTGTCCCTCTCTACTGGGTCATTCTACTTAATATCATTCATCTGAAGAAAACCTCTCTTAATCACATGCTCCCTTCACCAGCAAAATTCCTAATGTTATCTATACTTGCTCTTTATACTTCATTGCCTCCTACTCTTCCAACTCATCCCAACAGAATTTTATGACTCCACCGAAAGATCTATAATCAATCAAAATAACCACTGAGCTACATCTTGCCAAAGTCAAATTCTCTGTAGTCATATTCTGGGATTCACTAGAGCACATGACACAGCTGATTTTACTTCCATTGTCTTGAAAAACTTTCTTCTCTAAGCTTCTTTGACACCACATTTACAGTTTTCCTCCTACCTCAGCTCAGTGGCTGTCCCTTTTTCCTTCTTTCTTTTTTCTTGTTGTTTTTTTACCAGACCTCTAAATATCAGAATGACTCAGAGCTCTGTCCTTGGCCCTTTTTTCTTTCCTATCTGCCTTCTCTCCCTAGGTCATCTCAGCCAATTTTATGGCTTTAAATACCATCTTTATGCTGATGCCCTCCACACATGGATTCCCTAGCCCAGATCTCTCCTAAGCTCTAGATTCATGTATCTAACAACTACTCAACATCTCTACTTGGACATGTAATGGGCATTCTGACACAGCCAAAACAGAACCACTGTCATCTACCTGGCTCCCATTGATAGTCACCAAATCTGGTCTTCTCCAACACATCCCTCTCCCAGAAAATGGAATCACCATCTATCCAGTTCCTCAGGCCAAATGTCTAAATGTAAATCTTTTATTTTCTTTGCTTTTAGATGGAAATCTTGATTCTTCTCTTCCCTCACGTTCCATATCAATTCATCAGTAAGTCCCAACCTAGAGGCTCCTCTCCCAGATGTATTCTGAATGTGCTTTTTCACTTCACTGTTACAACCCTTTTCCAAACCATCATCATTTCTTCCCGTCATTACAATAAACTCTCCTAGCTGACCTCCCTGCACCTCGGCACACTGACAGGGGCAATCCAGTTTCTAACCACCACAGCCACCAAAATCTCTGGCTCCCACAGACACCCTCACCAGGCCACTGCAGATCCCTTTCACGGCAGCACCCACTGACCAGGGGACCCCCTGCACTGTCCCCGCGGACCTGTCCCCGCGGATCTGTCCCCGCGGATCTGTCCCCGCGGACCTGTCCCCTCGGGTCTGTCCCCGCGGATCTGTCCCCGCGGATCTGTCACCGCGGACCTGTCCCCGCGGATCTGTCCCCGCGGACCTGTCCCCTCGGGTCTGTCCCCGCGGATCTGTCCCCGCGGATCTGTCACCGCGGACCTGTCCCCGCGGATCTGTCACCTCGGACCTGTCACCGCGGACCTGTCCCCACGGATCACTCGGAACACGCATTCCTCATCCCGTCGCCCTCACCGACCGCACAGACACCCCGCCCTTCACTGACCGCACATCACACCCCTGAGAACGCTAACCCCCTCCAGCTTCAAGTCCAGTGGCCAAACCGCCCCTCTTCACAGACCACAGCAGCGCTCCAAACACGGACGCCCAGTGAGAGCGGCTCTGCCCGCAGACCGCCCACGCCCGTCCGCACGCTCACCCCCGCGCGGCCCCCGGGCTCGGGCGCGGCCATCCCCGGCGGACCCGCGGCCTCTTCGGAGCTCCTCGCGCTCCTCCTCCGGCCCGCGGACTCCGGCTTTGTCGGCATCGGGGTCGCAGTCGGAGGCCGACCCGGCGGCCCACCCCAGCGCGGCCGCTGCGGGTGCTGCCGTGGTGATGGCGGCGCCCTGGGAGCCGTCCGTGGGCGCCGCCATCTCGGCCGAGGCGCTGCCGTACAGCGGGGCGCGGGGTCCGCCGGGAGCTCGGGGGTGCGGGTGCGGGTTCCTGCGAGCGGGCAGAAGCCGGCTCAGTTGCCCACTGCAGGGCGCCTCCCGGAGCCTGGTATTATTGTAACAATATTAGAAATAGGCTTCACCACCGGATGCACAATTTGCAGCTGCTTTTCCCAGCCACTTAGCGCAGCCAGCTGCCCGCAAACCGGGAACCGCAACTCGCGGCGTGGGCTCGGGATAGCTAGGCTAAGAAGCGAAATTGGAAGGAGAAAAAAAGCCCTATCGGGCAGATGCCATCGCTTGTTTGCTTGTTAAAACATGTTTTTATTGATTTTGGAGAGAGAGGACGGAGAGAGATAGAGAGAAACATGGGTTGGCTGCCTCCTGCATGTCCCCACTGGGGACCCACCCCGCAACCGGGCATGTGCCCTGACTGGGAATTGAACTGGTGACCTCTTGGTTCCTGGGTCAGTGCTCAAACGCTGAACGATGCTGGACACCAGCCAAATCTACAAAACAACAGGTTTTCCAGTTTTTAAAGGGGACCAGAATGTGTACCAGTTCTCTACCCTGCTGCGACTCTTCAGCTAATAGTTGAAAATTGTATTTATGTGTATATATGTGACAAAAATAAGCAGCCATGCAGTACTCCTGACCTCAATGCACGGAGAGGAAAAAAAGCAGAAAGATGCTGCTCCAGAGGCCTGGCCAGCTGTGACACTGTGGCTGTGAGATGCAGCGCGGCCGTCTGGCTGGCCACCAGGTGGCGAAACGGAGCCTCGCTGCGCTTCTGTCTTCTGGTTCTCTCTGCCAGGACACATCTGTCTTCCTTCCCATTTGTCAGCTTCAGGAACCAGCTTCAACTGGGCCTGAACTGCTGATGGCAAATGAAGCTGTGAATTCTTCCCCTTCTCCTGTGGATGAGCTGGAACAGATGCAAGCAAGGACACTTACAGACATCTTGGGGAGGCTGCTGCCTGTTCCCTCGTAGGAATTGCTCTCTCTAAGGCCATAGGTTATCATCTGGATACTAAAGCAAATGCATATTTTTTTGTTGATTTCATTTTACTTGGCATTTCATCGCATTTGATTCATGCTCTCTCTCCTTCGTTTTTCTACATACTAAATTAAAACTTGATTGAATAAAGAACACTCTCTAAAACATGATTAGACTACACTACATGCACTTAACCTTTACGTGAGTCATTTAACATGGAATGTCACGAGTTGGCATTTCTCATTATACAAAATTGTTCATATAGCTTTTTTATAGCACAGATTGTTTAAAGTGGTGAACACACAATACAATATGCAGATGATGTATTATAGAATTGTAAACTGGAAACCTATATAATTTTATTAACCCCAAGAAATTCAATAAAATAAAAATATTTATAACAAAATATATGATACTAGATTTGTAAATAAGGTATTTGAAGAAACGTGCAGATTTTTAAATCATAACATTTAAATCTTTGGCACATACCCCCTATAGAGTTGCACGTGAGTTATATTTTTTTTCACTCTTTGAGAATTACATTTTGACATTAGTATGAACCAATAGGTGGTTGGCTGCTGTGGGAGCAGAGCTCTAAGTGCTCTGGGGACCTGCAAAGGATGAGAAGGGTGAGTGCCTGGCAAATCAAAGGATGGGAATTCCTGAGCTGGGCCTTGGAGGAAGGTTAACTTCCACAGGCAGAGAAAGCAGGCTCTCTACCTCTAGGAGGGACGGCAGCAGGAGCAAAAGAAGAAAGAAATTAGGCTTTTGTAGAGAAGATGATCACAGGAGAGGCACCCGGTTTGGTCTTTCTCTTCATGCCCTTTTGAGGAGACTCCCTATTTCTGGATATTAGGATGGTAGGCCAACTGTAGAGTTGCATTGCTCACATTCCCCCTCCAAGAAGACGCTCACGGGCCAGCTGTGAGGAGTGTGTCTAGCCGACAGCTTCCACTGTTAACTCTTTCAGATTTCTCTCAACTCCTGAGCTCAGGTACTAGTCTTCTTGGGGTGGGCCGAGCCCATGACGGAGCAGGACTGTGTGAGAAAGTCCTAACCATTTCTGCCCCACACAGGCCTCTGCTAAGGTGCTCCAGCTCCCTGCGGGGCTGACAGAGACTTTGTCAGATCTACACCTTGGCCACTCCCCTTCCCTAATCCTGCTTCCTCCTTTTCCCTTTCATAAGGGTTGCACCTCAATAAACCCTTTACACTCCTAAATGTGTCTCAGCGCCTGCTTGCCCCAAGACCCAGCTGACACAGATGAGACGTGCTTGTTGTTAGTTTTAAGCAACCTTTCTTGGGTGAAGGAAGCGGATATTTTAGAACTGGCTTTGAGCCAGTACCAGCAGGATGCAGAAGCATCCTGGGTGCTGGGGACCAAGCCATACTTCCACTCTGGCACATGAACCAAACAAGCTTTTGCTTCTTGCTATTCTCCTTGCCACTGACTGCGCCTTGGTGTTATATAACATGGCTTGAGTGCTGCCACTGGCTTTCTCAATGAGTGATATGTTGGTTGAATCCAGAGTGTGATTGAAAACAAGGTCACAAAATCCATTTCCAGCCAGGCAGTTAGTTTCAATCAAGTTCCCTGGTTATAAATGGGTCATATATCTGGTCATACATGGACTCCATAAGCCTCTTACCCACACACTGAGTCATGGCTTAGGACAGCCAGCTCTCAGCCACCTGGCAGACTGCCACCCTTCCTGCAGGCCACTTATAAAACGCCTTATACTTGGTGTTGGGTGAGGAAATCTTAATGTGGTCCGTCGGTCGGTGACCAGGTGCTTAACTCAAATCCATCAATGGAAGGGAATAGCTTTTGCTTTTTGTTTTTGGAAGCATTTCCTAATGTCTTATAAGAAGAGCAATACCTACCTACTCATTCATCCACCCATTCACCCGCCAAATATGTATTTACCAAGAGATGGTTGTTACTTGCCCTTCTCTTGATCAGACTCTTGCAGCTACACCCATGGTGCCATGCTTTTGAAAAATCCACATGCAACTTTTTAGTATCAACTACCAGGCAGACACCTCTGAGGTTCATTACTTATTCCTATTCCATCTGCCCTTCGTGTCAGACACATCAAGCCTCGCCCTGGCCGGTGTTTCTCAGTGGTTGGTGCATCGGGTTGATTCCTGGTCAAGGACACATACCTGGGTTGCAGGTTTGATCCCCAGCCCTGGTTGGGGTGGGTGCCAGAGACAACATATCAATGTGTCTCTCTCACATCGATGTTTCTCTCTCTCTCTCTCTCTTTCCCCCTCCCTCCTTCCCTTCCACTCTAAAAACTCAACGGAAAAATATCCTTAGGTGAGGATTTTTTTAAAAAGAGAGAAACATCAAAGCTTCGACCTATGTCGTAGAGTCAGTAAGAGTAGAGCCTCTTGGATTAGACAGTGTTGGGTTCATATATGGGTTTTCCACGTACTAGTTGTGTGATCTTGGTATGTTTACTTAACCTCTATGGGTCTTAGTTCATACCTCTGTAAAACAGGTTACTAGCATCTATCCTATACAGCTACTGTGAGGATTATATGAAATAATATTTACAAAGCACGTTAGCTAAAATTCACTGAGTTCGTACTCTGTTTCTGAAGTCAAAATATTATTTTTAAATATCCGGCCCCTGGACAGATGACATTTGTACTGCTGCAAAATAAATTCCCATTAGAACTATTTTCCTCGGTGAGTGGATTATGGTAGGAGCTCATGCTTGAACAAAGATGACTTTGAATATGACCTGTTTTCTTTGATTACCATATTGTTTCTAAGTTCATTCAAGTCTAAGGGCCTTAATTATAAAGGTAGCTGTTGCAAATTGATTGTAACATAACAGTTTGGATTCATTTACCATCATTGAAATGTGGGAATACTATTTAATGTTAGCTCTCTGTTTTTAAAATATTGGTAGATATTTTGGGCCCAGGAAGCTCATCCATGGAGTGGTTGACTATTGTTAACAGCAATGAGGACCACATTCATTAGGTACCATAAAAGGGAAGGTCCAAAGGCTACCTCCCCAGGGTGGTCTCAGAAGACAGGATGGATACTTGGTCCACCTGCTACTATGGTGCTGGTTGAGACTGGCTCCTCAGAAGTGCTGCTTGTCCCCTGGCAGACAGGAAGGAGTTGGTTTCCTTGGGGTCCATAGGCTGGCAGAACAACCCAACTCCCACTCATTTTTCCACAAACCTTTACTTCCAGGAGACCTCCTTGCCCCCTTACCCTCTCCACTGGACCAGGAGAGGATTAGAGTCCATGAAGGCTTCTGTCCCTTAGGGAAGGCACCGCTCATTTGGAGGGAAAAATTCTTCCGGTTTCTTACCTGGAATTAGGTGGTCAGGCTTTAATTTTTAAAACTTTCTATCTCAAAATTAGGTTGTTTTCAAATCATCCTCACACCCACCAGGAGTTTCTGGAGGGCACAGCCTCTATCTTATTTATCTCTTTAACCCTCAAAGTGCCCGGTACAGACCTAGTGTAGAGTAGGCGTTTGGTAATGGTGGTTGAATTAAGTTGAATCATTATTTTTCAAAAGACCTGTCATAGCATCATCTCTTAAAGCAGCTTGCTGCACCACATACAAAGTTACTCTACAGTCAAAGGTTGTATCTGTGTATCTTGTGTTAGACAACAAAGGTGTTCCCTGTTGATGGGTGGCCAAGTGAACTATGTAAATGAATCCTTATCCCATGTACTTATGCTATCATCTGGGAGATGCTAACATTAAGTGTTACTTAATGTTATAAGCAAATAATCATTTAGGAATGATTTAATATTATTTCAGTTTTGGTTTTGTCTGGGTTTTCTTTCACCAAGCCCCTAGGTGTATGGCTCACAGCTCTTGGGTATTTGTGCAGCCATGACCTTACTGTCTCAGTGTTTGCCCGGTGGCACTGGCAAAGCTTACACTGCCCCCCCCCCAAAAAAAAACTGGGAGATTTGAAATGGAAGTGAATAATCAAGGTGGGGAATAGTCAACTCAGATTTGAGTCGATAAGATCTTCCATAATGTAGGCTTCTGATCACAGACTTCAGTCCTATCCTCTCTCTTTACTCCTGTGAGCCAATAATATTAATTAGGAGGTCCTAATTCCCAAAAGTAATATTCCCATTTACAAAAGAATTTTCTATAAATTTCCTTCTAATAACAAGAATGCCTGGAGCTTCTAATATAGGACTTAGTGTACAATCATTCCAAGGTGATACAATGTACCAGGTGCTACGGTAGGTACAAAGGTGAAAAGAAAGATGTCACCACCAGAAGCAGATATGGCATTTGCAATATGGCGCTTTGATGTGGGGGCAGAGTTAGGAGGCTGGAGGGATGGGATACAGATGGTGGGGTAGCAACAGTAGCTGACTCTCCCCTCAGCATTGTAGCCCAGTTCATCTTGTAAACCTGGTTGCTCTTGGAGAGAATGAACTAGACAAAATGAAGTGCACAGCCTTTGCCAACATTTGTCAAGCTCAGTTCCTCTATCTCAGGGGCAGGACAGCCAACAGCCCACACATGGGGCCTAAAGTTAGATAGACCTCAAAATACCAGTGACTGGGTATTGGTTGAGCATGAACTAGGAATGATTACACAAGGGGCTGGGGTGACTTTGGAAAGCAGGCCGCAGATAGAATGCCAGAGTTCCTACGTTCACTGCCTTGTGCCCAGTCCTCCCATGATACTGGCCTCTTTCTGAGTTGGGGGTGCAAAAGGGAACCATTAGCACAAGCCAGGAATGAGCCATAGCTTTTAACCAGCCTCAGTAGCAGGCACAGGAGCCTAAATCACCATATTCCTCTCCCCAAGAATCCCCTTCCCACATGCTCTCCACATCTCCACACCTGCCTAACCTTTAGACCTCCCCCAAGATTCACCTTCCTAGGAATAATTCTCTGATTCCACCAGCCCAGTTGTGCCAGAGATTAGTCTGAGGGTTCTTCACACACCATCCCACTAAATCCCCATAGCAATCTATCGACAGGTACGATTATCCTCATCAAGAGGACACTACGGCTCTGAGAGGTTAAATTTGTCCTCATGGCTTCAAGATGACAGAGATAGTACTGAAACCCCAGCCTACATGACTTCAAAGCCTGTGTTCTTAAGCACTTTCTACATGATGTCACCTCCCCAGCATCACCCCTTTTTCTGACCCACGATGTTCTAGACATGGTCCCACTTTGTTGGGTTAGTTCATATGCTTGTAGAATGAAGTGTTTATTAACTATGTAAAGCATTTCCCCACCTTCATTGAAGGTTTCTTGAAGAAAGGGCTGACAACTTCTACTTCTCCATTTCTCTTAGGGGTCTATGGTATATGGAATAATTAAACATTTGTTCATTTATTATGGTTGAATTCAGACAACAAGGAAAAGGAATTAAAATGTGCTGAATACCAGACACCATACCTTCAAGACACTATTGTATTAAACCCTAGTCTAATTTACTCTCTCTGAATGCTTTGTGATAGGTCCTATCATCTTTAGTAGAGTCAATTTCTTTATTTCTGAGGCTGTTGAAACAGAGTAACTCACCCATTTCCACACACCCTGTACCTGGTGAAACATGGATTGTCCACACATTCTATTTCCCAGTTCTACTCCATTCCTGACACTCATAACTGGCTTTCTGATTTCACAATTAACTCAAGTTCTAAAAGGCAACATTTTATGAGATCCACTATTTTTTTTTGAGCGTTCCTTTTGATTAATTTCAGGGCATAGTAGATCTAATAGAGATGAGATTGAAAGGAAAATCTTGGCGTCGCATCAATGAATACAGACCATGCCTGGAGTGGGAGGAGAAAAGGTGCTGCCTCACGGACCAAAAAAAAAAAAACAACAACGAAAAACTGGACCCAGAATGAATATAAAGACAGAGGATCTGGGGAGTGGAGGCACCATCAGGTGCCTCACTCCAAGTGCCTGTAGCTGAGTCAGAATTGTCCCTCCCAAAATGAAGCTGCTGCTGCTGCTGTGTCTGGGGTTGACGCTGGTCTGCGCACATGATGAAGGAAACCCTGCTGTTGTGACAAGCAACTTCGATATATCAAAGGTAGAGTTGGGAGCATAGGGTCTTCTGACTTTGGAGGTGGCTTGGGGGAATTCTGAAGCAAGTGGACCCTAATGAAGGCCAAGAGATTTTTGACATGTTAGGCAAAGGAGGTGGGTTTCTGACCTTGGACTAAGAGGATTCGTACCATGTGGAAAGGTGATAACACCTGGAGACCTCCATTCTCATTGGAGGACAGTGGAAAGAGCCTTTCATGTGGAGTCAATTGTCCTGGGTTCTAATTCCATCTCCATATCACCACTGTGAGTCCAGGCCCATGAGCCAGAGTTCAAGGATACAGATGTTTATGTGGTGTCTCCCTCTTCTTTACTAACACAATACTTTACTGATTTATTGCAGATTTCAGGGGGGTGGTATACCATTCTCTTGGCCTCAGATGACAAAGAAAGGATAGAAGAAAATAGTGTCATGAGGAGTTTTATGGAATCCATCCAAGCCTGGGACGACAACTCTTTGACACTGAAATTTCATGTAAAGTAAGTGTAGCCTTTTTCACTTGGGAAAGGGAAAACAGAAGCCTGAGTAGGTCTTGGACCATTAAACACATACACACACACACACACACACACACATGCACATATACACAACATTGTGGGCCTGTATTCAAAACCAGAGTCACACATTTAGCACTGATGAAGGAATTTGCCTGTTTTCTAGATTCAGAGATAATAATTGGTGACAGGAATAAATTTAAATGGGAGTAGAGGAGTTCAGAGATTGAGGAGTATCAGAATCATAAGAAGGGTGGCAATATAGCATAGCTTAGGTGCATAGGATTGGGGGTCAACAGCTTAGCTATTTCTTGAAATGATCTTTCAGTAGTTGTGTGGCCAAGAAGTATTATCTCTTTCCACCCCAATTTTCCATTGGGTAAAAGAGAATGATAATAATTCTCTTTCATGGATTTCTTTTTTGTGAAACAATGTTTATTGAGCACTTAACTGAGAGGCTGGCACATCTGAGAACTCAACAGATTATCTAGGCAAGTAGCTATGGTAATAATAATAATAATAGTGTGAAGTGGTGGTAGAGTAATAGTGACATCAGTAGTATACTCATTTTTAAAGTAGCAAATACAGTGGGGCCTTGACTTACGAGTTTAATTTGTTCCGTGACAGAGCTCGTAACTCAAATTACTTGTATGTCAAATCACTGTGACGTTCGCTGCGCCAACTAGCGGCGGGGTATCTGAAGCTGGCTCATACGGAACCCGAATTTTAGCGCGCAACTCAAAGCAAAAAATCGGCCGAGAGATGGCTCGTATCTCAAAAAAACTCGTTAGTCAGGACACTCGTAAGTCAAGGCCCCACTGTAAAGTGAAATAAGGTAAATAAAAGCTGTTTCAAATTTTACCAAAAATGTTCTACAGTTAATTGGAATCAGACACTCAAGTAGCAGGTGGAGTGTGAGGGAGCCAGACCCATCAATATCTCTTGGGCAACAGCTCATTCTATTTTACAGGGTCAATGGAGAGTGCACTGAAATTTCTTTGTTTTGTACCCAAGCAAATGAGAATGGTGTATATAATGTTATCTGTAAGTACACAAAAATGTCTTTGTAAATTCTACTTCCAACTGTAAGAAATTGACTAAACCCCCACATTCGTAGGGTCTTCATCAATTCCTGATCAATGCATATTTAGATAATGCAAATGGGGCCATCTAATAGACAATATCCTCAATTTGGGAACACTTTGTGTGTAAAAGCCAATATCTAGCACACAATACCATCAGAATACGATGGCAATTTGGTCATTTGTACCACCTGCAACAAAAGAAAGTGGGCAAAAACAAACAAATGAACAAAACACATACAGCTACTCATTCTCTGCCCACTTTCTGATTGTTTCTGGTGTCCATTGCCACAGCACATTGCCCACATAGAGTATTGGGTATATTATCCAGTGGGCTTATAGACAGAACAGAGACACATAGTTGACAGAGATGGCTGAGGGAGAAATGAGAACCTCAGGGAGGATGTTAGAGAGGAAGTGGCTGCTGTGGCTGAATTTTTCGACCACTAGTGGTCAATGACAAGCGGTGGAATTTCTCCTAGTAGTCGATTCTACTCTTAGAAGTTGCCATATGAAGCTCGGAGAGATACCAATGAAAGGCCTTAGATATCACTCTCTATCTCTTCCAGGATATGCACTTGAATTTGCTCTGTGTAAGAGAATAGGTAGAGTTTAACTTGTTTCCCATGGACCAAAGAAGTTCTGAGCTGTGTTCTGTTTTCTCTACAGATGCTGGATTTGTTACCTTTCGCATAATTGAGGTGGTCTATAATGACTATATTATTTTTCATCTCATTAATTTCAACAATAAGCAAACATTTGAGATGCTGATACTCTTAGGTAGAGTATATTTATTCTCATTTTGGGGTGGGGAGACTGGGGGAGAAAGGAAACCTGAACAAAGTAGTCCTCCCAATCTTATCCTGGGATTTCTTTCCTCCTCTGAAGAGTGGTGCTCTCTTGGGTAATCCCTCAGGCTCACTGAGAGGAAGATAATGAAATTTTCATCATGCCAAAAGGATATCCTAAAAATGTCAAATTCAAGATAGGTTATATAGTCCGCCCCTAACTTCTGCCTAAGCACCAGTTGGTGCCATCCATCTGCCCCTCCATTTCCCCCAGAGCCTCAATGACCAAGACACAAGACACAGCAGTTATTGTCACTCTTCCCATAGCCCGACAACCAGATGTGAGCCCAAAACTCAAGGAAAGGTTTGAGGAACTTTGCAAAAAATATCAAATTGCTGAGGAAAACATACTGGATGCAACCAAAGTTGGTAAGTTTAGTTATTTCTGGTTTTCTCTTCCTAAATTCCCATGTTACTGGGTGGAGAGATGCAAGAGAAGGTAACACCTCCAATCAGTCCCCTCTGTCTTGACCTGGGAAATCATTTGATCTCTTGCTGAGAAATAAATGGGTTGGTGTTTGACTGTGCTCTGCTCTGTCTCTGCAGATCTCTGTCTCCAGGCCCGAGGGAGCCATGAGGCCCAGGATTCCAGGTTGGTGATGTCTGATGGAGAAGGGTTAGCCCAGGGACCATTGTCTTCCAACACCATTAGGGGTTTGTGTCCAAAGATAGCCCTAGTTTTGCTCCTTGGGTAGAGCATCAGCTTGAGAATTGAAGGGTCCCAGGTTTGATTCCAGTCAAAGGCATGTACCTCAGTTACAGGCTTGATCCCGGGCCCTGGTTGCAGTGAGTGGGAAGGCAACCAATCAATGTATGCCTCTCACATCGATGCTTCTCTCTCTATGTCTCTCTCTAAAATTCAATGGAAAAATATCCTCAGAAACCAGTCTAGGGTCCTTCACTGAGGATTTAAAAAAAAGGATTATAATACAAATAATTAGGTAAGAAGGTTTGTGGAATGAGCTTGAAATGTGGAATTGGGGGTCCTGGGTTCAGAACCCACTCATTCCATGAGCTGTAGAGCAAATGACCTAAGCAATTAAAAGGAAAACAATGACATGTACCTTGCAGAGTTACTGTGTGGATACCCTGCTGGTGAAAAGGTCTCAGTAATTGATAAAGTCCTAAAAATCATTATGACTTGAAATTTGAAATAGGAAAAGAATAGTAGGCTGTGAGTATGGAAGTCAAATGCATTTCTGTCTTTTGTCCATCTTCCAAGGCCAAAACGTGTGGCCCAATCTTTGGTAATAATGTTTTCCTTTTATCTCTGCACATCCTTAACTTCTGATTTGTAAATAGAGCTGTCTGACCTTCCAGTTGCCTTTTACCTGGAAAACAGGCTCTATATTTGCTCATCTGCTTCCTACTTTAGCTTTATTGTGGGGCTTTATTCAGATAATACATGGGAATTTCTTAGCAACTATGGCCTGCATAAAGTCAGCATTTAATTCAAGGTAGCTATGGTTTTTGCCATCCTTTCTGAATTTAGCAAAAATCCCTCAAAACATTTAATGCTGACAATGGCAGAAACCAGCCTAGGGTCCTTAATGGATTATTTCTCTCTCTTTCTCATAGACTCAGCTCAGGAAAGGTTAAGCAATAGAAAAACAACAACAACCAGCCATTGATTCAATGACTTCCTTCCCCCTATTCTGGAAAGAAACATAGGCTGCAGTACAGACTGATATCTATTTCCTCACCATTTTTCTCTGTAATAAAAATTCTCTTTGTCTTCAATTCAACACAGGAAGAGCTTAATGAGTTTCTGTGTTGTCTCTCATCTGCTTGTTTAGTGCTGAGTGAATGCTTCCTCACCTGGGCTCCAGGATCTTCATTCCATGGTCCCTGTGTCAGCCTGTGACAAGGTCTGCAACCTGATCTCCATCACTATCATCCAAGAAGGCCTTATCTCTGAATCTAAAGGATCTTCTCTAATTGTCTAGACAGACTCAACAATTCACCAAGAATCAAAGGTTTCCTCCAAATTTCTGACTCTGTTTGCCATACCCAGCACTCTACCATGAATAAGACATCCTGAACCTGATCAATAAATGATTAGTCGTGAAGTCATGTGATTGTCTTTGTGTGTGAAAGAGACATGGGGTTGATGGCAAGGGAATGAGGGGACTTCATGGCCCTGTACCCATAATGGTCCTCTAGCTTCTCAGAATCTTCCTGAATTTCAGGATTCTCCCTCCCCAGCAGTCAGTCTCTGCCCCGGTGATGCTGCTTGCCTTTCGATTGGCCTATTTCTTAGTGATCTGATAAAACAAACTGTGAGACTTGGCCTACAATTTGCCCTGATCCTAGAATTCTCTTTCTCAAGGGAGTACTGAGAGACAGTTGCTACTGAGGCTGATCTGGGCTCACCAAGTTTCAGGACAAACCTCCACATCCCAGCCTCCCTACATCATCCATTCTATACACAGTCGGCATCCTTTCATGCTCTCAGAAAACCTCCTTCAACCCGAGCTGTTATCTACTGTGAGCATGTTAAGTGCGGTGCTATGAAATGTGAGCAATAGAGATCTTTAGCCATCTGTACTTGGTACAGTCAAGAATCACTAAGGAGTGTAACGGTCTTAACCTCTTTTGGGGGGATCTTATGGGATTTGGAGAAAGGAAAGTTAAGGTTCTTCCTCCATCTATAATACTTTTCTTACATCCAATGATAAAAACAGTGTCAAAATTGCATGTTAGTGCTGGAACAGAGCAACATGAAGGTGGGTTGTCATTCACGAAGTATATCTCAGTCATTATGGTCATAAGCTTAATGACAGGTAGGCCCAGTTGTTCTGTTGGACATAAACAATCTCATAAAACATCAACATCAGACAAGGTCACTCTGAAATCATTAAAGCCAGATTATCGTGCAATCCAAAAACATATCTGTCTCTCAACTAAAATGAGTGACTGCTGCTTCTTTATCAAGTACCTGTATAGCTTTATATTCATGCTTATCTTCATTTCCTATAGATAAGATTTATGGATGTACTCAATCATAGATTTACCGCTGACTTCTGACAACCCCTAACCTATAGCTTCCTTAGATCTCCCCCAAATCCTGTAGTAGATTCTTTCTAACATGCTCTGACTGAGTCACCCACGGTTCCTCATGGTGAGCATACTGCATAGCTGCAATAAACCCAAACTTTTCAACTACAAGTATGTCCCTGGTGGTCTTTTATGACGAGTATTAACCTTTCTAGGACAAGACCCTGGGTTCACTCCATGCATGTGCCCCCTGAAATTCTGGGAAGCACCAAATTGAATCACAAACTCAGGACCTGGTTTAATGCTTTGCATTCTTTGGGGCTAGGACACAGGGTGCCACCAAGGATTTTGGCCTAAGCAGGGGGAAGACGGGATTGCCATTTAATCCAATCAAGTGGAGGAACCAGCTTAGTAGGAAATGATAAATATTTCTGTTTGAACATTCATTAGTATATCTAGCTAGGCTGATTTTAAAAATAATGAGAGAGAGACCCAATAGTAATCTAGTATGGTTTAATGAAGATAGAATTCATTTGACTATCCCAAGCACAACCAGAAGAGAGCATTCCAAGTTGGCAACTCCATTCCACACAGTCATTCAGGAACCCAGTTCTTTCTAGCCGGTTTCTCATGTCACCCTAGGGCATTGTCCTCATGTGTGGCCAAAGCTGAGTTTCAAGAAGTAAGGGATCAGAGGATGTGGTGGAAGCATGGTCTTATTTTTTTTTTAATTAAATCTTTATCGTTCAGATCATTACATTTGTTCCTCTTTTTTCCCCCCATAACTCCCCTCCACCCAGTTCCCACCCCACCCTCTGCCCTCACTCCCCACCCACTCTCCTCATCCATAGGTATACGATTTTTGTCCAGTCTCTTCCCGCATCCCCCACACTCCTTCCCCCCCCCAAGAACAGTCAGTCCATTCCCTTTCTATGTCCCTGATTCTATTATAATCACCAGTTCATTCTGTTCATCAGATTGTTTATTCACTTGATTTTTAGATTCATTTGTTGATAGATGTGTATTTGTTGTTCATAATTTGTATCTTTACCTTTTTCTTCTTCTTCCTCTTCTGAAAGGATACCTTTCAGCATTTCATATAATACTGGTTTGGTGGTGATGAAGTCCTTTAGCTTTTCCTTATCTGTGAAGCTCTTTATCTGACCTTCAATTCTGAATGATAGCTTTGCTGGATAAAGTAATCTTGGTTGTAGGTTCTTGGCATTCATCACTTTGAATATTTCTTGCCACTCCCTTCTGGCCTGCAAAGTTTCTGTTGAGAAATCAGCTGACAGTTGTATGAGTACTCCCTTGTAGGTAACTGAGTTTCTTTCTCTTGCTGCTTTTAGGATACTCTCTTTGTCTTTTGCTCTTGGCATTTTAATTATGATGTGTCTTGGTGTGGTCCTCTTTGGATTCCTTTTGTTTGGCGTTCTCTGCGCTTCCTGGACTTGTAAGTCTATTTCTTTCACCAGGTAGGGGAAGTTTTCTGTCATGATTTCTTCAAATAGGTTTTCAATATCTTGCTCTCTCTCTTCTTCTGGCACCCCTATAATTCAGATGTTGGTACGCTTGAAGCTGTGCCAGAGGCTCCTTACACTATCTTCGTATTTTTGGATTCTTTTTTCATTTTGTTTTTCCGATTGGGTGTTTTTTGCTTCTTCGTATTTCAAATCGTTGACTTGATTCTTGCGATCCTCTAGTCTGTTGTTGGGAGTCTGTATAATATCCTCCATTTCAGTCAGTGTATGCTTAATTTCTAATTGGTCCTTTATCATAACCTCGAGGGTATGACTAGATTTCTTGAGGATCTCACTACATTTGTCAGCAGTCTCACCAGTCTTTTTGAGGGTCTTACCAAATTTATCAACGGCTTCTAGAATGTTCTTGAAAAACCTTAAAAGTGTGGTTTTGAACTCTATACCCAGTAGTTTGCTTTCCTCCATTTCTGTCATTTGTGTCCTGTTTCTTTGTCTCCACATTTTTTATGCTTCCCTGTGTTGGTAGAGTGGCTTTGTGTGCTAGGTGTCCTATAGGGCCCAGTGGCTCAGCCTCCCCAATTACCTGAGGTGGACACTCTTGGTGCACCCCTTTGTGGGCTTTGTGCACAGTCTTGTTGTAGTTAAGCCTTGATTGTTGTAGGTAACACTGGGAGGGATTGACTTCCAGGCCAATTGGCTGTGAGAATCAGCTGTGTCTGCAGTGGAAGAACTTCTATGCTGGAGACACTCCAAGACTTGCTTCATTGGGCTTTGGTGCTCACTGAGTCTGCCTCCTGAGTGTGTCCTTTATGGATCTGAGGAGCTGCAAACTGGATGGTCCCACTCTGACCACTGGGCACAATGGCTTCTGGATCTCTAGGGAGGTGCTAATCTAGCCTCTGCCTGAGGCTATCCAGAAAAGCCTCCATGCAAGGCTTGGGCAGGGCGGGTCCCCCGGGATCAACAGGGTGGGGCTAGCAGTTATGGCTGCCCTCAGAAGCCCCGCTTTCTCAGTGTCCTGGCAATCACTGCTAGCACCTCCAAGAGAAAGCTGCCCTCAAGTTCCGACGGATGCCAGACAGTCCTGCTTCTCCCGTATGAGTCTGAGTCCCCAGAGATTCTCCTGGAACTGCAGCTCAGAGCCTGAGACTCCCTCCAGATTGAAAAAGGCAACCGCACCCTCAGCGGCCAGCTCACTCCGTGTGTGCCTCTGTACCTCTGTACTTTACTTCCAGACCACAGCTCCTCTGAGTCTCGGTATGCTTTTCTCTTTCCTTCTAGTTGTAGAATTTCCACTCAGCCAGCCTTGCTGTGGTTCTGGATGATGTCTGTTCCATCTTTTAGTTGCATTTTTGAAGTGGTTGTGCGAGGCAGCAAACTCCAGTGTTTACCTATGCCGCCATCTTGGTTTTCTCCCATCTGAAGCATGGTTTTATGTCCACGGTCCTCTGAGCCTTGGTGCTGGGAGGTTATCCCTTTTCCATATCCCCTACCGGAACACCCACCTTCTGCTTGTGCAGGCTCAGAGAGATTATTTTGAAGATTAAGGAGTCACATGGTTTTGCTATAGGCCAGAACTAAATTCCTTTTAGCAGTGCAAATTCCTAAAAAACTTAGCAGACTTCAGGTACATTCATCGCTTGACTTCTCTGTGTACAGATAACCAGGAACCAAAATTTTTACTAGTTATAAAGTTAGGCCCCCAAACTTGTATTTTCTAAATTGACCTTTATGCCCTACCTACCTCATCTGCTTTTCTTAACTTAATGGAGGCCATCTAAAACAATGGCTTTGGGTGGAATGGGCCTTTAACCCCTTCTTTGCCAGGAGGCATGCAACCTTTCAAGGCAGCAGCATTATCTCCTCTGAGACTAGACTTCCACTTCACAGCCACTATCTGCAACTGCCTCACTTTGGGGTAAGACACCCTCATTCAACTTGGAAGCAGGCTTCAGGCAGAGGGGCATACCTTAGCAAAGCTGTGCTATCTCTTCTCTCTACTTGCAGCCTAACTGGCTTTAGCACGTGCCCTACCCTCTCATAACTTTTGCTGAAAGCTTCAGGAAGTCATGGACACAGTACCAGTATTCCAACATCCTGAATCTTTCCTTCTGCTTCTCCAGGTTCTACCGCCTGTGTCAGCACACTGTCTCTTTCCCAAGGTACAGCAGACAACCATGTGACCTAATGTTTTTCCAGCATGGAATGACACTTCCCAGCTTCCAGGCTGTGATAGCTTTATCTGTGATGCCCAACACTGGCCTTCCTCCAGTAAACTAGCCACATATTTTAGGTTCCCTCAATCGCTTTAGCTAGTAAGTCTCTACCATATCCCATATTCTTGTGAATGAGCATTGGTTAATCAAACTCATGAGAAAGCCAGACATTTCATTTGTTCATGAAGATCTAGGTCCAGTAATGGGCCTCTGAAACGTACAGCAATTTATGCCTTATAAAAATCAAATCCTGGAGATACTTACTGCTAGCTTCCCTAAATATATTAAGAATATAAAGCTCATTCCATTTTGGGATGAATGAGCCTTCCAATTCTGT